GCGCTGAATTAAAGTGACAGCACATTATTCGCTGTAAAAATTAACATGGATTGACACGGAAATTTAGTAATTACACCATAAATGCATATAATTAAAGTCTACTGTTTCACAGTCAACACATGGCTTTTTGGCTAGATTTAAAACAAGGAAAAGTGCACTTTTAGATAAGCAAGGCAATAATAGATGGCACTCGTGGTGGTAGTTAAACAAAGTTATATTTATTGAGTTTAAACATGAAAATGTCTATGAAAGATTGTATTACTGTACTGTGATGAAAGAGAATCACAATGCTGAAAAAGCATTTTCAGAAACAACGTTTGGATTTGAAATCAAAATAATGGATAAATGTTGTGTTTGTGGTAAACAGCCGCGGATCAGGAGTGGACTGCAAACGCGTCCTGTGCGAAAGCAAAATGAGTCCGTGCTGCTTCTGCACCGCATACACATACTGTATACGCACTGCAGACAGAGTACGTGTGAACTTAGCGCAACAAATCTAGTTTAACATCTGAGGCAACACCACAAAGAGCTCTATGACCAATGCATGGCCCAGGACACAGGATTTTTTTCTTCTTCTGCCATATACGTCTATTCTAGAGACATTTTGTTACACCTTTACTTAGTGATTATTTTGCCTTATGTCTGTTCTAGAGACATGTTACAGCTTTTTGATAAAGCTCTAATTGGTTTTCTATTGGAAATATGTTTCAAATTCACACTGAATGCATTAATGACTGTAAAGTTACAATTTTTGTAAAGTCAAAATTGATCAAAGAAATCGCGATAGGTTGTTTTTGTCCATATCGCACAGCCCTACAAGCAAGTGCTTCTTTTTCACAGGGAACAGACAAAAGGTTCGAGTGGGTCTGCTGTGACCCTAATCTTTAGCTATTAGGATTAGGTATTCCCAATAATTCTGGAAAATAATACTTCCCAAAGTAGTGGGTGGAAAAGTTCTTCTGCACAAATTGAAACTCAAACATTTGACTACAGGGCAGATTAAGAAAAAAAATCTTGTTGTACAGTTCCAAATTTCAGCAATAATAAATAAATTCTAATCTAGACACTTCATACATATGTGCTAAATTTTCACCAAAAAGTGAAAATACTCATTTAGAAAGTATTTAACTTTCTTCAGGTGCAAGAACAGCAAAAATCAAAAATATAAAACATGACCGTAATCTAGAAGACTTCAGAGGCCGAATCAATGTCTTCTAAAGCAAACAGGTTTAAGAAAAATGCTAATGTTTGATCTTGATTTTTTTACGCTACTTTTTTTTATAGTGGTCGACCGATATGGGTTTTTTGACAGACTATGCCGAAATCTTGGAAAGCGGGGTGGCCGATGGCCGATATAATTGTATTTATTTTAATTAATGTTTAAGAAATTTGAAATCATTTGAAAATGAATTAAAAAGTAAATGTGTTAAATAAACATACTTATACTTTAGATGACAAAGTATTTTTCGCAAATTGTTTGCCTTTCTATTACTAATAATATAAAAGCAATCGTTATAATACTATTTGTTTACATTTTAATTCCTTTGTTTAACCGTTCTATCTGATTATTAGACAGATTTCTGTCCGTATTAGAACTGAACGACAACAGCGAACAAGAGGGAGAATGTGAGCACTGTGTGTTCAGGCGCTGCAGCTGTCAGCGCAGTCAAAATAAAAGTCCCGCCTCGAACACATCGGCCAAACAGGAAAACTTATCGGCCGATGCCGGTATTTAAAAAATGGCAAATATCGGCCGATATATCGGTCGACCACTACTTTTTTATGCTATTTATAACAGGTATCAAATGAATTAAAGGCATCATTCAAAAAAGCACATAAAAAAACAACAACAAAGCTTAAAATCTAGATTATATTTTACACTTACCCATAAATATTTTTGACTTCCTGATCTTTCACCTCTTTTTTCTTCTGTCGACGAATCTGTTGTTTAGACTCCTTGTCGAGCTTCATGGCAAGTGCCCTCTTCATCTGAGCCTCTTCATTGCTCAGGCTCTTCAGCTCTTTTTGCAAGGTTTCATTCATGGCTGCTAAGCTCTGGACCTGTATAATAAAAGATCATTTAGAAAGGTTTAAGAAGAAAAAAATAAGTAAAATCAAGAAATTCAAAATTTTACATTTCTGCATGAATGGCAATACCAAACATGACTGGAAAAAAATTATTTTTAGGCTTTTAATACTTTCAGCAAACACCAATGTTCTGTCCACTAGGGTTGTGACGGTGAGGAAATTTTCCCACAGGTTAATCGACGTGTGACAACACCGGTAATACCAGTATCACCGCGGGGGCGTTCCCTCTTTTCCTCGCTTTCCTTCGCTTTTAAATAGCTTGTAAAAGCTGCGTGCGCATTTTACTTTCAGTTTCAAATAGCGGCAATTCGGAGTAAAGCAATTGTTTTTTTTTTTAGTTCGTTTGAATTTCCCCTCTTTTCCTCGCTTTTCTTCACTTTTAAATAGCTTAAAAGCGCCGTGCGCATTTTACTTTCACTTTCAAATTAGCGGCAGTTCTCGTCAATTGCTTGAATGCAACAACAAAAATACAACATCAAACTCACTTTAGCCTATATATAAAACATAGAACTTGTATTAACAAAACAAATAAAAATCCACCATGCTATAGGGCAGGCTATGCCTAATATAAAATAACAAATAACTTACATAAAGTTTAAATAAGTATTCAAAACTGGAAATAGGCAAAGTAAACATGTATAATATATAACCAAATAAATAAGAAACGTAGAACGTTTATTAGCAAAACGAGTAAGAAAGCTTGGAGGCACTGCATACACCTTGATGTAAAAACGTCAGTCAGCTCGACTCACTCTCCTCGCTGGAGAAACGAAAGCTGATCTGTGATGCGACTGTCGTTCGGCACGCTGCATTGAGCAGCCGCGTTCAGTTTTTAATTGTAGTGTCTGTTCTTTTACTGAACTAAATGATTTTTATTACTATAAAAAAATCAAAAGGACGGTGGCGGTCGGTGCCGCGGTGGGCAAGTGACCATGCTGCAATGTAGGCAAATGTATGGCTACGTTCACACTGTCAGTTTTTGGGATTGACAACCTCATTTACTTACAGGTATGTGTCTCTAAATGCCCCGTTCACACAGCAGCTTACAGTAGCATCTCGAATAGTGTCTGTGTGAACGAGCAAAGGGAGTCAAGCCCGTATTTCTAACCAGTAACCATAGCGACAGTAATATGAAAGATGGCGATGTCCATAAAACTGAAAAGTTGTTTAACTCTTTGACATGACAAGACTCCAATCAAGCCGCGAGTTCACCTGTCAAATCTTCAATAAACGTCAGCAGCTTTAATGTCTGGGTGGAGAGCGGAGCATTGGAGTCGCGCGCAGAACACAAAAGTTCGGTTATAGAATGCGGTTGTCACGCCCGTAAATAACTGTACTGTGTGTGAACGTAACCGTATTATGGACTCAAATGCAGGACTGACAACTGTATTCTGCTGCTGTGTGAACGTGGCTTATCTGAGCTTTACCTCCTCTTTTTGCTGGTTAGTCTTGCACATGGTGCTCTGTAAGTCCTGCAGCTGTTTGAGCAAGACCTGGATTTCTGCCTCCACCTGACTTGCACACTGCACCAGCATCTGTAGCTCCACCAACCTTTCATCAGCCAGCTCCTGTCACAGACACACAGGGAAACAGCAGACAGTCAATCAAACTGATGATAACGCCAATAATCAGTGTGAGAACAAAGATCTGTTCACCTGTGCAATAAATAAAATAAATTTTAAAAAAAATTTAACTGATGATAACGCCAATAATCAGTGTGAGAACAAAGATCTGTTCACCTGTGCAATAAATAAAATAAATTTAAAAAAAATAAAAAACAGCTTGCTTGTTGTAAGCTAAAGTTTCACATTGCCTAAGGAGCATGCTAATTATACATACTTTGGACATCCTAATGCTCTTCACATTCTCTTTCATCCTTTCCATCTCATTTTTTAGTTCTTCAGGCGATTCCACAATTTGAGACTTGAGCTTGGCTATCTTGTCCTTCAGTGTCGCCACATCCACTTTCCTTTGAGTCTGTAGGGGAATTTAAAAAAAACACTTTGCACTTCATATTCCAATCACAAACAAATACAGAAAAATAATAAATGACAAATAATAAGATAAGAGCTAAAGTTTCACATTGCCTAAGGAGCATGCTAATTATACATACTTTGGACATCCTAATGCTCTTCACATTCTCTTTCATCCTTTCCATCTCATTTTTTAGTTCTTCAGGCGATTCCACAATTTGAGACTTGAGCTTGGCTATCTTGTCCTTCAGTGTCGCCACATCCACTTTCCTTTGAGTCTGTAGGGGAATTAAAAAAAAACACTTTGCACTTCATATTCCAATCACAAACAAATACAGAAAAACAATAAATGACAAATAATAAGATAAGATTTCATTGAGTTTCTGATGTGCATTAAACAAAATAATCCAATTTCACTTTATTTTACTGCCCACATAAATGGTAAATATTTTTGGTCATTACATGTTATCATACAAAGTTACAGGGATAGTCAAAAAATGTGCCCATGCAGAAGCTCAACCATGCTTGCTTGACCTCATTGGCTCTTGCGTGTAAAGCACACATTCACTTACTATATTTGTTGTGTGTTGATCAGTGCTTATAGATGAATAAAAGCCTAAATTAAATTTGGTTCTTCAGGCGATTCCACAATTTGAGACTTGAGCTTGGCTATCTTGTCCTTCAGTGTCGCCACATCCACTTTCCTTTGAGTCTGTAGGGGAATTAAAAAAAAACACTTTGCACTTCATATTCCAATCACAAACAAATACAGAAAAACAATAAATGACAAATAATAAGATAAGATTTCATTGAGTTTCTGATGTGCATTAAACAAAATAATCCAATTTCACTTTATTTTACTGCCCACATAAATGGTAAATATTTTTGGTCATTACATGTTATCATACAAAGTTACAGGGATAGTCAAAAAATGTGCCCATGCAGAAGCTCAACCATGCTTGCTTGACCTCATTGGCTCTTGCGTGTCAAGCACACATTCACTTACTATATTTGTTGTGTTGATCAGTGCTTATAGATGAATAAAAGCCTAAATTAAATTTGTCCATCACATAGAAGATATTGTCTCTCCTCAGAACATATGGATTATAGCAGGCATCTCCAACCCTGCTCCTGGAGAGTTACTGCAGACTGCAGACCTCAGTTGCAGCCCTGCTCCAACACACCTGCCTGTAATTATCAAGCAACCCTCAACCAGGAGTGGTTCAGGTGTGTTGGATTAGGCTCAGAACTAAAGTCTGCAGGACAGTAGCTCTCCAGGAACAGGGTTGGAGACCACTGGATTAATTCATATCAATTAGATTTACGAGATCTTCGTACTTTTTGATTAGAGGCCTGGTGGCATGGAGTTTCAAAAGATGGACAAAAACAAGAATATTGAAAATATCTTATTTTACGAATGGAAGTCTCATGTTCGGAAAAACATGAAGGTGAGTAAAAGACCGTTTTCCTTCTTGGGTGACTTATCCCTTTGAAGAAAGATGACACCCTTTTCATGGAGATGACAAACCTATTGTCAAATAGTTTACATTCAAAGTCTATCTTCATGCCAAAAATGAACTGTTGCTATAACCATGTCTTAATAATGTATAATTAAGAGTTAAGAATTTTAGAAATTGTATAACATTCCATGATACCAAGTTGGACAGGTTCCAAACCACAGTATGAATGGAAAGTGAACTTAACCAAAGTGGGTAAAAATAACGCACTGCTTCCACACTCTGGTCTGGAAAAGCAACACCGATCATATTCTCAGCTTACAACATCTTTAATATTTCAATGTTTGAAACATAATTTTTGCTATTATGCACAGTATTTGCAAGGGTGTAAAGGAAGTAATTTTACTGCATGATTTTAAGCTAAATGCATAAGTGATTTGAAATGCGTATCGATATGATTAGGTTCAGCTTCTTAGAATTGTCACAACTGAACACAAGTTCATGAGAACTTATAAACACAAACAGACGGATGTTACTGATCTCTAAGGGAACATTTTAGAGCAAATAAAAAAATTCAGTAATATAAAACAGAGTGCACAAACAAGCACCCACACATTCAGTGAAACCATAGCAACTCTGAACAAAGCATTTGAGCCCTGTCCTAATATTAACTACAGGATTGTGATGCATGCTTTTATGATTAACCACGCACTGATCAAACGGTGCTTGTAGACAAAAAGAATGTCACGATTACCCGATTCCATAATTTCCCGTTATTTAAAATGGTCACCGTTATTAAACCCTAAGAATTTGGAAGCTATGATTAAAAACAAAAAAAACTTCTTGTCTATTTTTAAAAATGTACTGAAAATTTATTCAGAGCAGTGGCACCTCCAGCATTGTTTATGGGGTGTCCAGAAGGGCACAGAAAAACTCCCACTAAAAAACTAATTGGTAACCTGCAACAGTTATTTCAAGAAACATCTACTTAAAGGGATAGTTCACCCAAAAATGAAAATTACCCCATGATCATCCTTGGGTGTCTATGACTTTCTTCAATATATTATTCTTCGATAATTGGAGTTATATTAAATATCCTGTCGATCATATCCTCAGCTTACAACATCTTTAATATTTCAATGTTTGAAACATAATTTTTGCTATTATGCACAGTATTTGCAAGGGTGTAAAGGAAGTAATTTTACTGCATGATTTTAAGCTACATGCATAAGTGATTTGAAATGCGTATCGATATGATTAGGTTCAGCTTCTTAGAATTGTCACAACTGAACACAAGTTCATGAGAACTTATAAACACAAACAGACGGATGTTACTGATCTCTAAGGGAACATTTTAGAGCAAATAAAAAAATTCAGTAATATAAAACAGAGTGCACAAACAAGCACCCACACATTCAGTGAAACCATAGCAACTCTGAACAAAGCATTTGAGCCCTGTCCTAATATTAACTACAGGATTGTGATGCATGCTTTTATGATTAACCACGCACTGATCAAACGGTGCTTGTAGACAAAAAGAATGTCACGATTACCCGATTCCACAATTTCCCATTATTTAAAATGGTCACCGTTATTAAACCCTAAGAATTTGGAAGCTATGATTAAAAACAAAAAAAACTTCTTGTCTATTTTTAAAAATGTACTGAAAATTTATTCAGAGCAGTGGCACCTCCAGCATTGTTTATGGGGTGTCCAGAAGGGCACAGAAAAACTCCCACTAAAAAACTAATTGGTAACCTGCAACAGTTATTTCAAGAAACATCTACTTAAAGGGATAGTTCACCCAAAAATGAAAATTACCCCATGATCATCCTTGGGTGTCTATGACTTTCTTCAATATATTATTCTTCGATAATTGGAGTTATATTAAATATCCTGTCTCTTCCAAGCTTTATAATGGCAGTGAATGGTGGTTGAGATGTTTGTTGCTGTTAAATTCTACTGCAAAATATTTATTCCACACTTCATGTCTAGACCTTAAAATAATATTCCATGTTAAAAATACTATTAACGTGGACTTGGCAGATAGAGGGGCCATTGGGATGGCCACAGTTGAGGGGAGGAGCCACTGTAAGAGTGGGTCTGACTATGTGCTTTTTTTTCTCAATTTGTTTCACTCAGATGTACCTCACAATGAATGTTCCCTCTAATTTTTTTTTTCTTGCTAAGCAAAAAAAATCTCTATTGGGCGGACATTTCGGCCACCTGAGCAAAAATATTCTTTATACCAGACCTGTCCAGCACACAAAAAAAGACTAACTTGTGTAATGTGTTATTTATATTTGATTTGACCCTTGATGTAACTAAATGATGCACATTTTAGGTTACCTGAGAAAACATTTTTACAGTGCTGTGTTACCAAGAAATTCTATTTAAAAATCATTTTAAAAAAATCTCACGCAGAGGAGTTCAATTCTTAACAATAATATTATATAATATAATATTAATTTAATATAATGTAGCTACTATGAAAAAATGAAGCAGTTATTGCTCGTGAATTCCCTTTTTGACTGTCAATTATTTGTAGACTTATAAATATAATATAAAAAAAATATTTTCAATAAATATTTTTTAAAAACATGAACATGTGAATTATTTTAGTTATCTAAACATCCCCATGTAGTAGTTTGCACACTAATGTAGATGTCTCGGAGTTTTGTTACCGTTCTGTGCCCATCATCCGCTATTTCCACCACTTAATCAAGCCACTCTTCTTTAAAACAGATGATGTTTTATTTAACATGTTCTTGCGTTTGCTCTCGTGTTGAGCTATTTCATCCTCAATCATTAAAGTATTCGATTTCTACAGCGACTCATTTGGCGCACATCACAATCTTTCTATGAAACCTGTAAACCGCATTCACCGGTTCTAACTCTATTGCGACACCAAATCTATAGTGGTTTGCCTGAGCATTGCAATTATTTCGCACTTAACTACTTAAATCGCATGGCTTTCCCAACTTATTTTTGCATCTGTCCTGTGCGTGGTTGCGAAAAACGAAGTGCATTGCCATGCATGCACGCAGCTTAGAGGGAACATTGCTCACAATACAGAAGAAAAGATCTGTCACTACTCCTGTTACATCACAACTTTAACCCTCATGCAAAAGCTGCGAATAAAGTCTGATAAATGAATACCTGATCTGATACCTACCAGTTTCTGTGATATCTCAGCAATTTCAGTCTTGCACTGAGCAACCTTTTCATTCATTGCGCTCTAAAGAGAAAACATACAAAGTCAAATACAAAGAAGAAAAGGGGGAGGGGGGGCATGCAAGATAAGCAGTGAAAACACTGGGCCATGTGATACCAGTTTTCAATGCATTATGTCAGGAGTGAAGTCGTCAGAATCATAAAATCAAGAGGTAATTTATGCAACAAAGCAGTATGCACACAATCAGGTACTCATTAGTATACTGGAACACAGCATACAAATATAGATTCAAAACTTAATCACTGACAACTCACCACATCCTGATATTCATGCTGCGTGTTAGTTGTCAGCTCTGCCAGAACGGCCGCCAGTTCTTTAGCCTCTACTTGCTGCTCTGGCGGTATGGTGCTGTCAAGACAAGATAGGTGTAAAAACAAAACAAAAAAACCCACAACACAACAACAAAAAAATAATGACAAACACTTACGTCAGTTTCTCAATCTTTTTCTCAGCTTCCTTTATTTCTCTTGTGTATGCCTGGAGTCTGTCCATATCAGACCGCTGTTTAACAAAAACAAAAATACAATTAGCAAAAAAAAAAAAATGTTATGGCTTTGATTTAATGTAAATTTTCACCGCACAGTATTTGCGGTGTAAAAACCTATAGGTTAATTAGCCTGCACCCAAGAAAGAATATTCACAATGGCAAATGAAGTCTGCACATCAAATGTTTTGAGCGGAATAAACAGTGGAAATTTGTGGACAACAACAAAAGTGTCATGAATAGGCCTGTCACGATAACAACTTTTTGTTGTGCGATATATTGCCCCAGAAATAATTGCGATAAGCGATATTATTGTCATATTAAAGACCATTTTATGCCACTGAATATATAATCATAATGTAACAGCATAGTAATGCAAGAAGGCCTACACACTTCCAAATGACAACAAACTATAGAATATTTAGATCATGGAAATTAAATATCAAAATATTAGATACCTTAAAAAACATGAATAAATAGTAAATAACAATTTTCTAACAAAAAGTGCAAAGTAACAAGTACAAAAAAAAAGAAAAGTGCACTTTTATGGAGATTTTTCCATCTACAGATTTTTCCCTG